ATGCTAAGACAATATGGGTCATCACTGGGTGGCCTTGTTTAATAGTTAAGGAAAGGCAGGTGTGTAAACATTGCTTGATCTCTAAGCAGCTATGCCCTTTGACTCCCAATGCTGCTTAAGAACTTGACATACCTCCCGAGTTCCACTTGAAAGCATCCTAACAAACCCCCTTTTCATTTGTTTTTATATGCACATAACTTGACATATGGTAGGTACTCAAATAAGTATTTGTTGACTGAATATAGGGATTTAAGAGCATGAACTCTGAGCACATCTGTACCAAGCACTCACCAAACTCTTCACATATGACATCTGGTTTAATTCTCAGAGCAACTCTATGAATCACAAATCTGATCTAGAATAAGCAAATTGTCAAAGGTTCCACAGAAAAACTGGTGGTCCTCAAATTTGAGTTCCCTGCCTGATCCCAAAAGTTGAGCTCTTGTTAGAAAAGACATCGACACTCTAGCAGAAGCAGACAAATTAGAGCCTGGGATCCAAATTTGGCCTGTTCTTGTACATCCTGTAGGCTAAGAAGAGAGTTTACATGTTTAAATGGTTGAAAAAAATGAAAGAAAAATATTTCGTGCTGTGTGACAATTACATAGAACGCAAATTTCAATGTTCGTAAGTACAGTTTTACTGGAACACAGCCACGCTCATTCATTTACACATTGTCTACGGCTGCTTTCAAGTGACAATGGCAGGGCTGGGTAGCTGTGTGGCCCAAAAAGCCTAAAATATTTACTATCTGAACCTTTACAAAAAAGTTCGCCAAAAAAAAAAGTTAGAATGAACCTAGACGGCCACATAAACACCTGGTCAGCAATGTTTTCTAACCAGTTTTCGGTCAAAAGAGGTAAAGAGTCTCTGAAGATACTTAGAATTGGAATGAGGGGTCGTCCTAAGAATCCTGGCTTCATTATTCTTTTTAGAGAGATGATGAGCTGCAGGTGCAATAAACTCAGGCTATTCCCCAAACCACACTCCTAGTAAAAAAACAAATTGTGTTGTTCTCAGTGCAATCCTGAAGAGACCCAACTATCGTCGCAATATCAGCATGACTTTGCCTCCTTGGGAATTCTTGTAAGATGTAGTGGTTAATACTTCTGACTTTGGAAGTAAGACTGCCTAGATAGGTGACTTCGGGTGAGTCTCCACTTTATTTGTACTTTAGTTTCCTTAACAATAAAAAGGGGGGAATGACAATACTTACTTCCTAAGAATAAAGCCTTAAAAAATTACGGCCACATTATTAGTGCATTTCTTCAAATCTCAGATGCTATCAATTGGAATTTGAGTTTTTAAATATGACCATTAATAAAAAGCACTGTCACTTTAGACCACAACTCAATACCCTCTAATCACTGAGAATGTTTATTTTATACCCATTGAATAATGCCTTTGGTCTTATTTAAATATAGATTTTTTAAATGTATCATTTTTGTACATATATAAAAAGGAAAGTATAAACAAAATAAATTGGCTAAGGTATTCCTAAAACATCTTTTAGTTTAAAATCTAACTCCCCTGAGTTTTTTCCATACATTTATATACATTACTACCCTCTGTGTGTTGGTGCAGTATTTCTTAAAGGAGTGTTCCATTATTTAATCTAGAATTTCCTTCCAAGCCACCTAGACTCATTCTGTAAATTTGGTGGCTGGTACTTTCCTATTGGACAAAGCTGATAGTTACATTTTTTTCTATAATTGGACCATATATTCCCTGGAAGTTAGGCACCTTCTGTTGAAAATCAGCAAGCAGTTTCCATCAAATTCACGCTTGCCACCTTAACAACCTTCCAGGTGATGCACAAATCAGTCACAACTGCCTCTCATTCTTTGAAATGTTGCAAATCTATCTATTCCTCTTGCCTTCCTTTGCATGGGTCAGTATGTAAACAACACATGCATTGCCAACAATGCTGAAAACTCAATTACGGTGACCCCAACAGAAACAGTCACAGCCACGTTCCCACGCCGGCCTGCAGAACCTCAGGGAAACTCCACACCTTTCCTTTGAACTGGGGGTGGGGTGAGAGTGGGCAAACATTTGCAAAAGTAAAGTCTCTTTGAGGGTCCTGTCCAGAGACCATTGTGCAAGAACTAGTTGCCTGCCTCCAGGTGAGACTTCTTTTAAAACATGCATTTGTTGGTTTGTATTTACTTGTATTTATTTAAATGTTTTGTTTTATGGAGCTATTAACATTCCTTTGATGTATTCTGTGCATGTTCGATGTATGCTCGTCAATTATTTCCCATATTTTATTCTGATCCCATTTACTACCTATTTTTTCCTCACTTTCCACTTTCCCTCTTCTTTTCCTTCATTTTTGTCCTCAATTTTAACTTTTTATCCTTCTTAGCCTTTTAGTTGTCACAAGTTGTTGTACACCATTTTAACTTGCTTTTCATTTGTTTTATATTTCATTTGTTTTATCCTTTCTTCATTTTAGTAATAATAATTCTATCATTAACTAACATAGATGGAGTGTTTGTGCTTATAGTCATCTATGAGCACTATTATTCACATTTTACAGATTGGGAAACTGAGGCAAAGATGAGACAAATAACTTGCTCAGTGTATACCCCTAGAGGGAGATTGGACCCACAACTGCTGGACTGTTGGGTTCCGGAGTTCAGCACCCCTTTCTCCACCTTCCTGTCATAGACCCTGGCAACGGGCTAGGCACATAGGCTGGCTTTTTATTTGTTTTTGTTTTTCTATTTAGGAGTAATCATAATCATCAGAATCTTGAATCTTTGATGGGTATCTGCTGTAACTAGTTGATAAGAGCCACTCCAGGCAAACGAAAGCTCTTATTAATTACAGCTTTAGCACCACAACTCTAGGTCATCCTGTGTGCCTTTTAATCACAGTAAGCTTTGTTCTCCATCAATTATTAAATATTCAGGAGTTTTTAAAGCCATTTGCTAAACCATTGGTCTCTTACAATCAGCCACTGTACACCATGGAAATTGGCAGACACTAAGAATGACGAATGGAAAAAAAAGACCCTAGCTTCATCTTCCAGAAAGGCATTTTTGGCCTTTGTATGTTTGAGCTCTTTCTTTTCCTTGTGTGCCCATTGCAGGTTAGAGGATGTTTCTGACACTTGCTTATAGCTTGTTCATCCCTCTGTTAGCCCCAAAGGGTTAACAGCTGGGCCTGTGGTCAGCCAGAGGCCTGCAGCTTCCTAAAGGAGGAGGCTGAGAGTATCAGAGAAGTAACAACTGCAGCTTTGCAAAACCCCTCCCTCAATTGCCAGCACTGCTCTGTCTCCTGGGACCGTCGAGATGTGCTCAGAGATGGGCCAGTTCAACTCGAGTCCTCACTAATTTCAATTCGATGTTGCCCCCAAGAACTCTTTGAAGTAGGTCAACAGGAGGCAGTCAGATGTCCCCAGTGAACCAGTGATTCTCAACCCTGGCTGCTCATTAGAAACTCCTGGGGAGTTGTTAAAACATGCTCACATCGCATCTGAGCCACATTTAGAGGAAATAAATTGGAATATCTGGGGGTGAGGCCCAAGCACCAGTATTTTTAAAAACCAGTGCAGCCAGGGTTAGAAACCATTGCACTGGGGACAGTGATGCACGATGCTCGCTGCATATGAGAGTCACCTGGGATGACACGGTGCCTCAGGGAAGCCCCCAGATGCTCAGAGAGGGAAAGTATGGTTGGAAATCCCGGGGAGAAAGATTGGAAGAATCACGAATGGGAGAGCTGGAAAAAGAGGCAGCTGGAGTGGAAGTGCAGGGAAGAGGAGGGGTCGGGGAGGAGGAGCAAAAACTGAGGTCAGGGGTCAGGGGCCCAGAGTTAGATCAGTGGATAGAACAGCTAGAGGCTGAAGGGGGGCGGTGAGGAAGTAGAAGGGAGGGCGGGAGGAAATTTGGGGAGGAAGCTTCCCCTGAACGTGTGGTCTTAGTATGCTTTTTTTTTTTTTTTTTTGAGACGGGGTCTTGTCCTGTCACGCAGGATGGAGTACAGTGGCGTGATCATAGCTCACTCCAGCCTTGAACTCCTGGGCTCAAGGGATCCTCCCTCCTCAGCCTCCTAAGTAGCTGGGACTACAGGCACACGCCACCACGCCTGGGTAACTTTTCTTACTTTTTGTAGAGGCGGGGCCTCACTTTGTATCCCAGGCTGGTTTCAAACTCCTGGGCTCAAGCGGTCCTACCTGCCTTGGCCTCCCAAAGTGCCAGGATTATAGGCTTGAGCCACTGTGCCCAGCTTAGTTTGCTTTTTTTTTTTTTGAGACAGAGTCTCACTGTGTGTTGCCCGGGCTAGAGTGCCGTGGCATCATCCTAGCTCACAGCAACCTCAAACTCCTGGGCTCAAGCAATCCTTCTGCCTCAGCCTCCCGAGTAGCTGGGACCACAGGCATGCGCCACTATGCCCGGCTAATTTTTTCTACATATATTTTTAGCTGTCCAATTAATTTCTTTCCATTTTTTATTAGAGACGGAGTCTCGCTCTTGCTCAGGCTGGTGTCGAACTCCTGAGCTCGAACAATCCGCCTGCCTCGGCCTCTCAGAGTGCTAGGATTACAGTCGTGAGCCACCGCGCCCAGCCTTAGTTTGCTTTTTAAAGTGTGAAAGTCTCCATTCTTTGCAGAGGAGAGCCCAGTACAGAGGCTCGGGATGTATTTGTCAAGAATACATTTAGTGCTGAAGAGCCACACGGAAGCTGGAGTGTGGGGTTTGTCCTGCTGTTTGCTGAACTCTCATTTTGGCTTTGGTGTCTCCCTAAGTCCTCAAGGGGCCCCGCATCATTTCTGTGGGTCCTGTCGATCTGGCCCCTAGCCAGGGCAGCTGGGGACAACATTGAAAAGGAGGCTTTGGGAGCGGCCGGGTGCAGCAGTGATCCGTCCGCTGAACGGCTTTCTCTGTTCCAAATGTGGGGAAGCAGATGCTGTCGCCCAGAGGCCAAGGACCGGGTGAGCCACTGTTCGGCCAGTCTTCCGCCCTCCCCCACCAGCACACAGGCAGCCATCGTTTATGAAAACACAACACACACTGGGTTTTAATGAGAAAATAATTGTATACTTGCATCGAATGCCTCACAATCACTATAAAACCAAAGCAGGATAATAACATTGAAGTGGTTAACATACACAGGAAAGCCAGATACAGAGTATAACTTCCAAACACAGTATTGCTGCTTTTTCCCCCTCCTCCCTCCCCCAAAACAGAAAAAGAAATAAAAATTCATTTGGGTAAAGAGCAACACAAAATCAAAATTGGCAGCTCACTGAATGCTTAAAATTCAGGAAATTGGTTTTATAACTAAAACTGGATATATTCACCATCTCTAACACTTAGGCTATTTTTTTTTCAATACATAGCTTAATTAAATCCATTCTTTAGTTGGAAAAACGTTTACTTATTTGTCTTCAGAGACAAAAGTCAACACTATCATCGTGTTCCTTGTTACGTTTATATATATATATGTGTGTGTGTATATATATGTGGACACTGATCTATATACTGCTTATGTGACTTTGCCTGGGGTGGGCAGCATGCACGGGAGTAAAGAGGAAAGTAAATTGCATTGTGTCATCCAAGTAGAACACAGCCCGGCCTCCTGCCACTGACAGACCCTGTTTCCATAATTTCTGGATGAGAAAGCCAAGGTATGTCAGCAATCAGCTCTGGAGGAAAGTGAACGTCTATAAACACTGCAGAACGGAATACTCTCCGGAAGGCTTTTAAGGTCTACAGAATCTAAACATTTGTTACAGTTGAGATTAAACAAGCTTGTGTGCTATTTGGGGGTAGGGCCGAGCATCAGAGGCTAAGTTTTTCATAAGCCTCTCACTCTCCAGGGATTAGGCAGGAGTGACTTTCCTCCAGGGGTTGGTTCCATCTTCAGAAAGTTAAAGGGGTTCATCTGGGATCCCAGAGCCCAGCACGGTGCTATGTACAAAGCAGGGGCTTGTTCAATGTTTCCTGAATGAATTAAAAACTCAAGAGCACAGAGAAAATCTGGCTCTCCTGAGGGAACTGTAATTTACATTTTAATAGGATAAGAACAGGATTCTCAGTGAGTAGAGCGAGAAAACAGACAGCAGTCATCCGGAAGGCGGCGCAGGGGAACTAGCAGATGTTGGGGACGTAGGGGCCACAGTGAAAACAGCTTGGTGACCTCGGGAGTCACAGAAACTACATTTGTTTCCTTCTCTGCACATAGAGTGGGGCCGAAAGGCCCCCAGCTCTGTAACTCTGTTATTCCTTAAGCAATTAGTGCTTCTGGTTCAATCAACTGTGGTCAAAGACCCCTTTGTCTGCTTTTAAAGCAATTCCGTGAATTTTAAGGCCTCCTAAGCTTTCCTTTCAGCTGCAAATTCTCTTCTCAAATGTCGGTTTCATGTAGGTACATGGTTTCCTTCCAAATAGAACAAAAAACTTTAAGGTAAGTCATAAGGATGGTTTCCTCTCGTGGAAAATGGGGGAGTTAGTCTAGGTCACGCCTGGAAGCCCTACAGGATCCACCAGTCAGTCCAGAAAACATGAAGCATGTTTTATTTCTTTGTGTGACCCACAGAACTATTCTACTCTCCAGCCATCCTAGCTGCCACGGTGCCTGAGGCCACAGGATGCAGCTGGCTCCTCTGTTCCTGTCCCTGTGTCTGCCTTGGGAACGCCTCCTCATCGCTGGGTCTTCAGCCCAGGCATCAGCATCATCATCATCATCAGGGACCTCCGGCTGGAAACGCTTAGGCAAAGATGGTCCTCTCTCCCGGGTACTCCCATTGCACCTGTCGGGACTTCTACCCAGATCTCACTTTCCTGGGAATGGCTGTCTCCATGCCAGACTCCCCCACCATAAAAATAAATGCTTTGCAGCAGGGATCTTATTGGTTTTGCATCCCCAAAGGCTAGCACATTTTGTTGAAAATTCATTCAGAATATTCAGGAGAATGAACCATATAAAGATGGTGCCAACTTCCCATGTGCTATTTCGGCTACCATCTGTAGAATTTGCCTTCAAATTACAGGTTCCCTTGGCAGTTTTAAAGCATCCTTGTTATTAGACAATTCCATTTTTTACTTCATGTCAACTACTTGCCTGTGAATAAACTCTCCCCACCCCAAAGTCAACACTAGTCTAATAAAAGAAGCAAAGGTAATGTGCGTAACGTCTATATACAAATTTTGTGGAACTACTACTTGTTAGAGCTTATGACATGACAATAGAAAAACAAAAATGAATTTCAGTGAGGTCTGACTTAATTATTGCTTTTTTAAAAAAAAAAAACCCACAGTTTTAAAACAAAGAAGAAAAAAAAGAAGGCTGGTTAGTTGGGTTTTTTTCTAATGGCCAGAACTGAAAATTTTCTCATCCAGAAATTTAGGGCACCCGATTATTGAATACCCTTATCATATTGCTTTGAATGACAAAGATTAAAGCTGGCATCCTCTATCATATACTAAGCATGAATACAAAGCATGAGAATAAATAGGATACTTTCCTAAATGTCAAATTACAAAACTTGCTCAAAACCTCGCAATCGTGACTCATGCAAATACCATGTCAGGTCAATTTAATATTACAAATACTGCATCAGCTCGGTGCCTTTATATCCCTTTTCATAAAAAAGAAATTCTCACTCACTCCTGAAGCTGGCAAGCAGCTTTGGAGGAATTAACTGTACACCCAAGTGCCATGATCATTCTGGAATTTTAATATACACACGCACACACACACACACCTTACACAAACACACAAAGGTACACACACACACACACACACACACACCCCATCTTTAGGATTTGTAGTTGATTCCAAGCCTGCACTTAAATTTCTATTCTATATTTTTCTTTGTATCATCCTGAAAAAACACTGGTTGCTCAGCAAAAATAATATCTCTTCCCTCCTCATTTTCTTCCCACTCTTTCTCCCTCCCTCCCTTTTTCTCTCTCAACTTCATGACATTTCTCTCATGTTTCCTTTCTGATTGATCTAAAACAATCCATCATTCTTCTTCCTACCTCTAAGGCCCACTGTATATTAGAAAATAGTTATAAACACCTTTTTATTTCATGTCATCCACCTCTCTAAGGCAGAGTTTGCCCTTTTTGTCAATTATTGCCACTCTAAAAATACCCCTACCATCTTGAACCAAGTTGTTCAATGTGTACAGATTTTATACATGTATATATTCCCCCATCCCATCATAAAAATAGTTGTTGCCCACTAAATATAGTTTTCATATGAAGAAACATAATGGTGAAAATGCGTTCTCATAAACTGCAGATCAATCAATATATTATAAGCAGACACGATCCTAAAGCTAAAATTATCCATTTGGTTTTCTCCCCCTTTCTCAGCCTCCTAATGTAGAAGAGATTGTGTTTGCAACATGAAGACATATTGTCTTAAAAATAAGGATTGTATGGATTGAGATCATGAGTTGTTCCCAATTAATTAAAAAAAAACTAAATGTAAGAGAAATGGAATCATAACTGCCTCTTCTCGGCAAATATGGAGAGAAACACCATTCATTTTATGGCTGCTGGAGAAAATGGAATTAATACAACACCTCTGATGCTATGAGTGATGGGTGGGAAACTGGTGCAGAGAGACATCCTGTGCCAAGTAGACTGCGCCAGCCTGGGCCCTGTAGCTCCCTAAATGGCCCTACCCGCACTGTTCTTCCTCATCACCCAAAGAGGCTGGTCTTGTTTCTGCCAGCAGCAGCTATGCTGATTTGCTTGTCAAGTCTTTGTCCTTTTGGATCAATTGTGGATTGGTCCAAATCCAGACATTGAGATTCTTTGAGTCACATAAAAAAATCCTTTCTCTTTTGACTCCTGGGTGTCAGCATCTGAAGAGTGGACTTCCTTTTCATTTCATTTCATTTTTTCATCATTGTGTATTGCAGCTTCTGGTCTACATAAGGATTGCTGAGTTTGTTTGCACTTTAATAAATAGTCCATTAAAATGCTTTGAGTTGTTATTTTCTTGGTTTCTTGGTATCCCAAGCACCAAAGAAGCTTCCTGGGTCGAAGGAAGTTTATTCATTGTCTTCTTCCTCCTGGTTGGCATAGATCCCTGCTTCCCAGCGCAAGGCCAATGCACTCTTTCTTCGATTAACCCGTGTGGCCTCAAGGACCTGGAGAGAGAAGGAAAAAAATTATGCAGAGTTCATGGATGTTAATTATGTAAACAAGCCAACTTCTCCGTTTCTTTCCTCTTTTCTCTCTCTTAACGTGAGAGGAGAAAGTAATAAAGTCTCTGGTACTGCTGAGGGAAAGGGCGGAATGGGAGGTTCTAGGTGGTGCATTCATCTCACAGCCAAAATTATTTGCTATTTGACCCCTAGTTTTCAATATAGACAGGTTTAATTTTCATGAAATGTGCTGCAAATGTCTTTAAACTAGACATGATTCTGCATCAAAGCAGATCTCTACATGCTACAGATCAGTGCTGTCCAAGAGAACTTAAATGTGATGATGAAAATGTTCTGTTGTCTGTGCCATCCAACATGGTAGCCACTAGCCACACATGGCTATTGAACACTTGAAATAGAGCTAGTATGATTGTAAAGCTAACTATTTAATTTTAATTTAAATAGCCCCATTTGGGTAGTGGCTACCATGTTGGACAGCATAACTATAGATTGTCTTGGTCTCTTCATAAACAGGAAAACCAGAAAATAATTCCAAACAATGGGACCAGTGTGGATTCAATCCATCAAGCCTTGTGGGTCTACATAAGCTATGATCATATTTACATCATGAAAATGGCATAATTAAGCTCAAAGAGCCATTAAGTGAGAAACAAAAAAGCTTTTCAGACCAATAAAGAGCAATCTCAGCATTTTGATGCAACTTCAGGCCCGTATGTGCTAGTAAATGAAATTAAAGGTGATGATATCAAGGACAAGTAAGCTCACCACCATTGAGGGAGGGCCTCCCCTTTCCCCCACCCCTGCTTCACTAGAACAGTCTGTGGATTCCTGAGAGGAGACTTCAGCCATTCTGCTCCAGCTTTAGTTTGGTCAAGATGAGATTCCAGGCGATGACGTTTAGGTTGCCAACACATGAGGCATGGTTTCATTTTATGACACTGTAGCAAAAGCAAACTGATGCATGTCCACCAATTACTCTGGCATGAGCTTAGGACATACAGTTCCTGATTTTAAAGAAAAGTCCAGTAGAGCCAACATTGGTTCATTATCCAAACCACCACGGAGGCTTTGCTTATTCTAAAAATAATCATTTAGGCAAGGGACAATAATGCTGGTAAATCCAGAGAAGCAAGGTGACGCAGGTTACAGGCAGAGGTGGAGCCCAGGTATAAGTGGATTCTGGCTAGAAGAAAGGTCTGGGGATCCATCTCAACCTGCTTCTCTGCACCCTTGTCCGATGAATGGATCACCCAGAGCTTCGACATACTTTCTTCTGGGAAGCCTTCCCCATTCCTCCCAGCAGGGGGAGCTGGACCTGACATGTAGGATATCCTCGGTCATGTTTGCTGAATGAATGAACGATGCATTGTTAAGCACATAAGCTGTGTCACAAAGTGTCTTGTGTGTAAGCATACCATGATCACTTACTCGATATCTAAAATTGTCTAACAATAACAAAGAAAGAGGAAAACATGCTTCCAGCTCTGGTATAGTTAAATGGAGGAATTTTCTGGTCTAATGTGTAGTAGCATGGAACTGAGACACATGCTGGACTGCACTTGGGAGTCCTCAGCTCTAATCCCAGTTTTGTCCCTTGTTGTTCTTCTTGTGTCTGAAGTTTCTTTATCTATAAAATGGAGAGCACATCTGCCCTATTTTACAAGCTTTCTCAGGAGGCACTGTGGACTCTGAAGTCCAGGCAGGTCTGGCGACTGTGCAACCTTGGAAAAGTCACTTACCCCTGTGCCTCAGTATCCCCATGTAAAATGGGGATAATATTAATAACAACTACAGCATAGAGTTGGCCGGAGGAATGACTGAAGCAGTGTATGTAAAGCACTTAGCATAGTAAGTTCCTAAATAATGATAATAATTATTATTATTATCATCATCATGTGAAGGATGATAGGAATGATTATTATTAAACTATGAAGTGACGAACAAATATCAAACATTTTTACAGGGAAATCTACATTGCATAAAATGATCATCTGTTTGCCTTTCAGATTGCAGATACAAACAGAAAGGTTTACATAAAAGCTAAAAATAAATCTCGAGTTCTGAAAAATACCCGTTCGGAAAGTTCTTTGTCTTGTTATTTAAACCCTATTTGAATTCTCAAATAACTTGAGCAAATTGAGTTTGCTCTGTCCTTTAGGAACCCATGTTACAATCCAGCTGTCCACCCATCTTACAAGTATTAATATTTACCAGGTTCCTACCAAGTGTCCCTATTCCTACCAAGAATAGTCCTTTCCCTCATGGAGCTTAGTCACAAAAAGTATAATGGGCAGAAAAATAATATTTATAATTATGGAAACACTTAGGGTAGCTTGGGTTTCAATATCTACTTTTCAAGAGCCAAAATAATTCACTTATACCAATAGCGAGCTTTCTTCTCTTAATTCATTCCCCTAATTTGTATTGCCATTTAACATGATCCTGAATTTCTGGTGAAATCTGTAAAGCTCCTAGTAATGGCACAGACAAGAAAATAAATAGATCACTATTGAAATAGCCAGCAACCTTGATATAATACTATCTTAGGGTTCATTAGCCTTATGACTCAGGACTGTCTCGAAGTCAAGCCATCCTGCAACTGGTCTTTTGAAGATTCAAAAGCCAAGCTCTTGGGCAAGGTATTTGAATAAGCATCCGTTCCATGATTAATTCAGACGTTTGTATGTGTGCGTGCACACACGCATATCTCTATAAATCTCTAGCAAATTAAGAACTCTTATTATTTGCATTATTGCATAATAACTGTACTTTTCTAAAGTCCATTCCTTTCTTTTCTGGGCAAAAAAGTACATATTTCTGGGGCTCTAATAATAGCACACACTTACATCATAAGTACTATGAACCAGTTACTGTTTTAATCCTCACTACTGTTTTATGAGATTCATGCTATTATTATTTTCATTTCTCATACGAGGACACTGAGAGGTTAAGCAATTTGCCCAGTGTTATCCAGGTAGTAGGAGGAAAAGCCAAGATTTGAACCCAGCACTCTAGGTGTGGGGTTGATGCTAGGCCGTATGGGTATTCCGTGACTGTACGAAGAGCAATAAACACTCTCCATGAGATGGGAAAACATAAAAAATAAAAGAAAGGCCTGATTTAAATTTTCACTGTTTTCACAAATTAATTCAAATTCCAGTCTGGTGGGAGAAAAAAACTTCAATTCTTCTTGAATGACCGTCTAATACTAATTTTTCTCTCTAATGCTTAGTGAATTTGGGTGAATGAACTGCTTAACTTTGAACAGCAACCAACATAGACGATTTTATTTTGGGGATGTGAAACAAAAGACAGATATATAAAATAATATCGGTTATCCTATTAATATTAATATTTATATTTTATCCCTCTATCTTCTATTCAATTGAAGATAGAGTGGGCCCAATTCTATCTTCCTTGCATATGTTTGACCAGATTTTCATTATTTTAAACTATGCTGATTCAAAGGGGCTACAAGCTTAGGGCCTAATTCTCAAACTGCCATCCTCCAGATGACAACCACAATTAGCAAGGAAGGCAGAAGGAGTGATGTTCTCAGTATTCATTTTATGCGTTATGAAAGAAAATTGCTGCTAATCAGCTGCTCAGCTCTACAGTTAAATATAATTCTTTTCCTAAATAGGGAGACTTAAAAAATATATTATGCTACAGGTTGATATGACCAATTTGAAGAATAATTTATAGTATATAGTAAATGCGAGGATGTTATCAGTCTATCAGCCAGTGCTTCTGCTCCTAGATATATAGAGAAATTCCTCCATAGGTACACAGAGACATGCACAATAACATTCATTAAAACATTATTTGTAATGGTAAAAAAAACTGGAAACAATCTACGTTTCCATCAACAGGAGACTGAATAAATAGTGATATATTCATTCAATGGAATACTATATAGCAGTCACAAAGAATAAACTAGAACCACAATTATCAACATGAACACATCTAAAAACAATGCAGAAAGAATAAAGTAAGGCAGAGGATACTGCAACATGATTTACTGTTTATAGAATGTTTTAAACATGCAAAACTGTTCGTGTATATATACATATGTAGTATAAGCATAAAACCATGCATGGAAATGATGAAGCCCAGGCTCAAAAATAGTAACCTCTTGGATGATGGGGGGAGGGGTCTAGGAGAAGTAACAAGAGGGTTTGAATTGTATTTGCAATATTAACTTCTTTTAAAAATATTAAACAAATATGAAACCATAAGAACGGACAAAGTGGATTGGGAGGTTATATTATGTCATTATGTTAGATTATTGGAAACTTTGAATGCTGGCTCCATGACATTGGTAACTTTGTTTTGTTGACTGCTGTCCTCTTGGAACCTGGCACAGTGCCTGACACACAGTAGAGCCTCAATAAATTGTTAAATGAATAAATGAATGAATCTCTCTATAATTCTGTATATCTGAAAGAATTCTTTTAAAACAAAAATAAAATATAGAAATAAAAATATGAAACATACTGTGTTTTTTTCAGCAAAAAAGAAAAATATGGAGAAAATGGAAAAAATAAAAATTTGAAAAGAAAAATATGCTTTCTCATAGCACACGTATTTGTGAAATCTGTATAAAAGGAAGTTAGGGGAAAGGAGACTTTTGGGGAAGTCAATCTTTAAAGGAACAAAATGAAACAAAAAATACAGGTTTAAAGTTTGGAGGAGGGGGACGGGGATGGTCCACAATTGATAATCTACAGATTTAGGATGGTTCATCCTAAATCTATAGAATGGAGCTTTCAAGATTTATGTTAAAGCAAACAAAAGACTGGCCAGACTCAACAGCTCAATCTACATGAGCTGCTCTGTTTTCGAACCAGACCAGAGTATACTTGCTATTTATGCCTAAAGAAACTTAAAAAACCCAAATAGCCCATCGATTGTGCCCTCAAGTCCAAACGTCTTCTAGATCCATGCGTAGGCAAGGCCTTCTCCAGCCCACCACACAGCAC